ACAATCTTCTTAAAATTTTTTTTTTTTTTTTTTTGTAAGAGAGTAATGGACTAATGCATGTTGGAATTCTCCTCCGTGCCTCTTTCATTAGTTCCTTGCAATTAAAGAGTACAAGAAATATCATATAAGAAGATTTGTGGGTCATATTATAAAATGGACAAAACTGGTTGTGTGATAGCTAATCCAAGAGTTTTGGTGACTTATTTTGAATTCCAATTTAGTGTTCAACTCTCCATTTGGCTACTTCTAATGGGTAAGTTCCCTGACTAAGTTTGTTTGAACGATAATCAAATTCTCTTTGCTATTAGGGTAGTTCTCTGACACAAGTTAAAACTATTGCTCGTTTTGGTGAAAAGATGTTTTCAACATGTCAATTTTTTTAGTCGACTTGAGTTAATGCCTTGTTTACTTTGATATATTGTGATGTTGGGTGACTTTTGGCTTTCAGCGACTTCAACATGACTCGGAACAACTTCCACTAAAGTGAATATAGACCAAGTTAGTTTAAGCCAGGCTCGTGGCTTCTTAAACTAGGTACAAGTTTATTATATTATAACTTAGCTAACGTGACCCATAAAACTATGAGCTTACATTGGTCACCCATAAAACTATGGGCTTACATTTTTTTGTGTTCCTTTATTTTATAATTACAACAAATTCATTATCTAGAAAAAATTATCATTAAGAAAACTCTAAGTCTTTTTTTTAGCCAATTCATTCACATCAAAATTACATATAAATTGTTATTTGCATCCATGCAATTCTATAAGAAAAAATCATTTAGAACTAAAAAAAAAAAGATGTCCCCTTTTTCTTATACCCTTAGGGGCTGTTTGGGATCACAAATTACTTTTTTTTTAATTTTGTAATTTATTTTTTTCTTAATTTTTGCTTGAAATATAATTATTTGGTATTTTACAACATGCTTACTTTTAAAAAACACCTAAAATTAAATTTAAATATATTGAGTATTTCAAAAAATAAAATTTATTTTATAAAATAAAAATTAAATGGAGGCATGTGAAAAAAATCAATAATTTTTTTTTAAATAAAAGAAAATAAATAAATACTTTAAAAAAAATTGAACAAAAAGAAGCCCTAAGATTATGCTAAGAAATAGTTCCTAAACACTGTTGCTTCAACTAGCTGACATTTTTCCAGATTCGACAATTTCTATATGCTCACCTAACTTTTGTGGGAAATAATTCACTTTAATTGTCTTTTGAAAACATTTTTTTCATATAATAATGCCACTTTAACAACAAAAAATATTATTTAAATAAACAAAATTGTTCGAGACTTGTGGCAGAGACGAGAAGCCCATCTAAGAATAGACTGGCATGTAGGGGTGTAAACGAGCCGAACATGAGTGAGCCCAGACTCAGCTCGTGTTCTGCTCGTTTATATTTCGAGCTCAAAAAGTGTGTTCGTGTTCGGTCATTTGCTTAGCGATCCGAACAAGAGTCGTTCACGAACAAAGAGTCATTTTGACAACACTAATGATATAGCCATAAGAAGTTAAGGATTGAGGTTATTCTGTTTTCTTAATTAAAACTTTTAAATGATTATAAATCTTTGTAGCCTTGTAGTCAATTAATTTTTTTAAAAATACTACTTATCAAATATATATATTATATATATATATATATATATAATTGATTAGTAGTATTTCAAGCTAAAACGAGCCGAACAAGAACGAACAAATATTTGTTTGTGTTGTTTGTGTTCGGCTCGTTAACTTAGCGAATGAGCTGAACGCGAGCTTCTTAATGAGCCGAACACGAGTTGTTCGCGAACAACGAGCCGTTTTGACAGCCATACATAAAACATGTGAATCAATCAAAAAATTATATTATATTCATCTCAAAACAAAATGGAGAGCTTCAAAACAAATTTTTATTAAATCAAATTATATCCATCAATATAGGTATGTTCTGAAGGGAAAATTATTATGTGTGGTTGATCACACGTCCGAACGACGGTCTGGAAGCAGCCACGCTACCGTGTATCGCACGGCAGCCCATATGAACAGTCATACAAACATGCAGTTGCCACACATAATAATTGCTCCTTTTGAAGGAGTCTTAGCTAGTTGGAAAACATCAAGATCAGCTTCATTTATAACAACTTATTACACAATAAACAATATAATTTTTTTCTGATACAATTGTGGTCAATGCAAAATGCTCTCTGTTATCTAACATATAGAAAAACAGAGACGTTGCTCATCAATTGTATAAGCTTAAGAAAGAACAGTCTGAAATTCTCTTACTGATCCTCATAAATCCAAGCAGCATTTACATCCATACCAGTATCCTATTAATGACATTGGAACCAAATACAAGATATAAAATTATAAAGCAAAGCACATTAGCATTTCCTCCAATTCTTCACATTTGTAAAATGAGCAATCTACCTTTGCAATATGCAAACAAATCTTTGTTTAAATGCCACAACATATACTAAAATTTCTCTTTCTTTTCTCTTTAAATACTAGGATTTATTCAGGAAATAGGATTGTTAGTCTCTTATAAACTAATACTAAAATGCGTTCTTTATTGACATGATTTTACTTCACAAAGGAAATGCATAAAAAAACGCAGTAATTCTACATGGATCAGTGGCCTCATACTCAAAGTGCAGTTTAAATTTAAAGCTGATTAAGAAAAGCATTTAGAGTCAACAAAATATTGTTGCAAATGTCATATACATTGAAAAACAAGTGCAGCATGCTGTGAAAAAACGACGGAATTAAAGCGAAAAATTGGAACGAGAAAAATTGCACGCAGAAAAAAATTGCACGCAGGGAACGAGAAAAATTGCACGCAGAAAAAAACACCAGAGCGACACAGATTTACGTGGTTCGGCAAATTTGCCTACGTCCATAGAGCTACAGAGGATTTTATAGGAATTACACCGTCGAGCGCCTTGACGTTTATAAGAAAATCTCTATTTTCTTGCTGCATGTTGTTCTCTGCCTTCGTCCCTTTCTCTTAGCTCTCAAGAGGACTTGGCTTGGTCTTGCTTGGCTTGAGGCTTGGCATTGCTTGACTTTGCTTGGCTTGAGGCTTTCCTTTAAACCAAAAGAAACTATTTATAGAAACTATGAGAGCGGTAGGTGGGTGTGGTAGGTAGGTGAGATACTTAATTAAGAAGCTAATTAAATTCGGTGGACCGGATCTCCGCATTACCCAACACAGCAAACCCAAAATCTTAATTTCATTGAATTGAAATGAACAAAAAAACCACCCTTCTGTAGCAGAAGAATCTCCGGCCAAAGAAGGAAAGAAAAAGGCAGAGTTTACATGGACAACAAATGAATAATATCATTAATTCCTTCTGAAACAATCTTTACAAAGCAGTCACCAATATGGTTGCTTAACAAATGGGAAAAAGAACAAGGCAGTCCGACGCCGCCGTCAATTACATGAACAGAACAATTTACTAGGTGATTTTATTATCGGTCGCAGCATCTCGCCTATTTCATCATGTGGAACTTTTGCCACAGGCATATCGTTTCTCTTTACTGCTGATAATGGGCAACAATATAACCAGTCTCACGTCATTCTTAATCAGAATCCTTCCATCAGTCACATATTTAAGAGGAGAATTTACATGCATACCGCTCAATTCTTATGTATTTACATATCTAACACCTAAACATTAATTTTTACATATATGCCACCAAATCTATACATAAAAATGTGTTTCACGCTTCTTAAAAAGTCCCAATAATGGTATTTTTGATGTGATATAAAAGATTTAAGTGTTAAAAATATAAGAAGTAAAGTATACATGGTAGATATTGTTGAGCGAGAGAAACACCTAATAATATGCCTAAAAACTTGTTTTATTTCATATTTTTTTTACATATAATGCATAACTTTTTGTGTTTTATGAAGAAAAACCCTTAGAGAAAATTTCAGAAACATTTGGTGAAGTTCAACATAACGCCACAATGCCTACTTAGTGCAGCAATGCTAGATTGCAGCGCCTCAGCATCACTTTTTCAGAGCATCACAGCACTATCGACATCATAGCAAAGAACCAAAAGACAGAAGGCTCAGCGCTACAGCGCTAGATCTTGAGCGTCGCAACATTGAGCCAGGGCCACAACACAACAGCCCTATAGAGAATTATTCCCTGAAATTTCAATTTCCAAGGCGGGAAGGGAGTTGGAATGGCTGAGAAGGCTTAAAATACTCAGAAGAAACATCAGGGAAAGAAGAGAGAGTGAAACCTATGGAAGTATAGGAGAGTCGAGTCCAAAGGAGTGTGTGTGAGTGAGTGTGTAAAGTGAAGTGAAGTGATTTCTGGACCAGTGGAGTAAGAGGAGCAAGAAGGAGAATTTGGAAACGGGCTAATTCAATATACATTTCTTCAGAAGTCCGGGTTCTTTTGTTTCTATGTTCTTCTTTATGAATCTCTTGTAAACATTTACCTTTTTGAATGAAATGAAAGATTTTCTGGGTTTGTTGTGTAAAAGCATGCTAAGTAAAACACTTGTTTTCTTATGAATTTGTGATTTAAAAGTTAATTTTTGTGGATAAAATTTTCATTGCAAGTTAAATCCTATGTTTGTTTGCATTTCTTTCAATTTTATTCAGCATTAGTGGTGGCCAACCTCATTTTAAAATTTAGTTTAAGTTAACGATAACAATAGAATCTTAATCTACACCAAGAAGTTTCACAACTAGGGTTTAAGAAAAGATATGTATTGCTTTTGAATTGTAACAGCTGTTTAGGGAAAGGAAAAAAAGAAAAACAATTTTAAAATCATCTAATAACATACACATATCACATTAGCGATGTTTGATATTAGGCTGTCTAGCTATCAACGAAGACTTTAAACCTTTTTTGTTCCTTATTAACCCTAAGTTCTTAAATAAAAACCCTATCGTAGAAGTTGATTTTATAAATTGCAACTTCATAGGAGTGTTGTATTTTTTAAATTTTCTTTATTCAGAAAAACCTAAAAATCATCATTTTTGCAAAATTCTCATTTTAACAAAAATTAGGGTTAATAATCAGTATTTAAAGTCACTAAAAAAATTGCAACTTTTCGTCATAGAAAAGATCTCTTATTCAAATACATTATAGGATTTGGTCGACACAAGTACTTGCCTTTGTCCGTGTAAAGTCTGATCAAATTTTTTGCACCGTCGTCAAGAATCAACGGTGCGATTTTAGAATTCGAAGCTTAACATTAATGAGTTGACATTATTTCTGGTTCAAAAATTTATGTTGTTTTTGTGTTGATTGTATTTGTATTGTCTTGTTTTTGTGCACGTTGATTATATTATTTTTCACCAGTATGTTTGTTGTGTAGTGTTTCTGTGCACATATATCCTGTTAATTTTTGCAATTACTAAAAATTCATGTTAGCACCACAATGCTACCTACCATCAACGCCGCAATGCCAACCTTATTTTGCTAAAATTGTTACTGACTATGTGACATGCTATCTGTACATTAGGAAACATGGCAAACTCTTAAAAAGAAAATGATCAACCTAGGCCTCTTCAGATATTTTGCAAACTCTATAATTGAAGAAATTCACCATAGTATCAATAGACCAACCATCGAGACAAGTAACTTTGAGCTACAACCATCAATCATTCAAAAGATCCAAAATAGTTCAGATGTTCATCCATAGAAAAGCCCAACCTGCATATAACTAGTTTCTTGGAGATTTACACAACATTTAAGTAAAATGATGCCTCTGATGATGTTGTTAAACTAAGTTGTTCCCAAATTCACTAAGAAAAAAGATAAAAGATGGTTAAATTCATTACATCATCAATATATTACAACTTGAAATGATTTGGCCGAAAAGTTCTAAGCTAAATACTTTCCACCTTCTAAAACTGCCAAATTTAAGAATGCTATAACTTAATTTACTTAATTAAATGGAGAGTCAATCTATGAGTCCTGCGAAATGTTTAAGGCTTTACTTAGAAAAAAGCTCACACGATGCCCTATCCAATTATTGAAAACTCAAACCAATACGATTCGCTTCAAATTCGACATGTTTTTTCATAGAAATTAAGGAAAAATGATATTTTCTTTTCTTCAATAATCCAAACAACTCAACAAAAATAAAAAGATAAACACCTACAATTTGAGAGGTATGCGATCTCTCTCAATTCCTGCAATTTGAGAGGTAGGAAATCTCTCCCAAACCTTAAACTTAAGACTCACAACTCAATCTCATGCCCCCTAGCCCTAAACATAATAAGTTAATTTACGCTCCATAATAATAATAATAAAAGTCTAAATTCCCCTTAGGCATACAAAGACAAAATTGTCCTTAGGTTAAGCGCTGACATAATAATACTTTCCCCCAAAAGATACCTTGTCCTCATGATGGGGAAAAATGAGTGTTCCTCCACCACAACTGTCTTTATTTCTTCATTCTCTGCCTCTTCGTCCTGCACTATAAGAACTTGTAATTTTCAATCCTTGCAACGGTGTCCTAGGGTAAACTTTTCATCACACCAAAAGCAAAACCCCTTGGCTCACTTCTCCAGAATCTATCTCTGTAAGGCACTTGAGTGTCGCTCCCGATCGTGGTCCATCATTTCTGTCTCGTGCAGCCTACCTCTGGACTTATATTGTTTGAACTATTGGTATCGTTGTGGTCACAACACTACGCTCCATCTGTGCTGCTCCTATTGGCCTTCTTCATACGGTTCTTGTCATCCACCATCTAGGCTAGCTCTATTGTATCCCTCAATCCCCGCGGTTTCAATAGTTGGAGTAACGCCCATATGTTAGGCTTTGAGCCCTTCATGAAAATCCTCTTGAATCGTGTTTCAATAATCCCCCTAAGCCATCCTGACAATAGCTTGAATATCTCCTTATATTCCAGGAAAATCTCCTCCTAAGTCAAAACATAAAATTGCTTGTGTAGTTCTCCTCCCCAAATGGCTCGTAAATGTTCCAACAAACAACTCTTAAATTTATCCCACAAAGGGATCGGCAACCTAGCCTCTCTCAACTGAAACCAGACTATGGTTTTCTCCTTCAAACATAACTCTACCACCATGAGTTCTTCTCCCCATCTAGCTCATTCACCACGAAGTATCACTCCATCTAATACACCCACTCATGTGTGTTTTCCCCCTCGAAAATCAGCATTTTCAACATCCTAAACCTAACATCACCACCCCAACTTCCTCCTCCTCCATCATTTTCCCCCAGGTCTCGAGGGTAAAACTCCCTCCTTCGATCATAGTCACATCCACTTCTAACTTCTCTTATTTTTTCATCTTCATGCTCCTCCCCACCTCTTGCATAACCCTTCTCCATGTTTTGGCCCAACCGTCTCCATCATAAATCTCTAATGCACCCCCAATCAAAGTCCTGGAAGGAGATTCTTGATGGTGGATGTTTTCCTCCTCATTTTCCTCTGGTCCGATCTCTTTCCCATTCGATTTAGCTAATAAATCTCCAGTCAATCCTAGGTTAGGATTGACAAACTAAATTGTCGATGGGGTCTTGGATTGCATCTCAACAAATTTCCTCAGCATCACTTCCATATCAGCCCTCAAATCAATTTTCCATGGATAAAAACCTTCCTTCTATGGTGGAAAACATTTACTCCATCCCAAATTTTATTTGACTCGTCTCTTCCTCCAATTTCTTCTCTAAATTATCTACTTTCTTTGTTGTCATCTCTTTCAGAAAGATTTACAATCTCAAAGGCAAAAAATTTTGTACCCTACAATCACCTTGTCACTTCGCAATTAGCTCTTATCGCAATTGTACCTCATATAAGTGTCCTTAAATCACATCAATCTCATCATTGCTTCTCAGGTAGAAGCTACCGCGATTGTACGCGTGATTCAATTACATGAAGGATCATGTAGCTGCAATCTCGTTTTAGGCTTCCCAGCTAGTTGAATCCGAGCTATTTGAATCCCATATGTAGGTCATTGCACGCCACAATCCCTCTGATGCTTCCTAACTGGCTCTTTCTGCGACTGTATCGAACAGATTGGTGCGATCCTGAAGGATGGAAGTTTCAGGTCTTTGTTCGTCGTGATCCCCTCAGCCCGAAAGATGGGAGCT